TCATAAACTACAGACAGTAATGCGCTGCAGTGCGGTGTCTGTACTTTATGCTCATAAACTACAGACAGTAATGCGTTCTGCAGTGCTGTGTCTGTACTTTATGCTCATAAACTACAGACAGTAATGCGCTGCAGTGCTGTGTGTCTGTACTTTAATGCTCATAAACTACAGACAGTAATGCGCTGCAGTGCAAGTGTGTCTGTACTTTAATGCTCATAAACTACAGACAGTAATGCGCTGCAGTGCGTGTGTCTGTACTTTATGCTCATATCACTACAGACAGTAATGCGCTGCAGTGCGTGTGTCTGTACTTTATGTCTCATAAACTACAGACAGTAATGCGCTGCAGTGCTGTGTCTGATACTTTATGCTCATAAACTAAAGACAGTAATGCGCTGCAGTGCTGTGTCTGTACTTTATGCTCATAAACTACAGACAAGTAATGCGCTGCTGTGCTCGTGTCTGTACTTTTTATGCTCAAAACTACAGACAGTAAGATGCGCTTGCAGTGCTGTGTCTGTACTTTATGCTCATAAACTACAGACAGTAATGCGCCTGCAGTGCTGTGTCTGTACTTTATGCTCATAAACTACAGACAGTAATGCGCTGCAGTGCTGTGTCTGTACTTTATGCTCATAAACTACAGACAGTAATGCAGCTGCAGTGCTGTGTCTGTACTTTATGCTCATAAACTACAGACAGTAATGCGCTGCAGTGCTGTGTCTGTACTTTATGCTCATAAACTACAGACAGTAATGCGCTGCAGTGCTGTGTCTGTACTTTAATGCTCATAAACTACAGACAGTAATGCGCTGCAGTGCTGTGTCTGTACTTTATGCTCATAAACTACAGACAGTAATGCGCTGCAGTGCTGTGTCTGTACTTTATGCTCATAAACTACAGACAGTAATGCGCTGCAGTGCTGTGTCTGTACTTTATGCTCATAAACTACAGACAGTAATGCGCTGCAGTGCGTGTGTCTGTACTTTATGCTCATAAACTACAGACAGTAATGCGCTGCAGTGCGTGTGTCTGTACTTTATGCTCATAACTACAGACAGTAATGCGCTGCAGTGCTGTGTGTTCTGTACAGTGCGTGGTCTGTACTTTTTGCTCATAAACTACAGACAGTAATGCGCTGCAGTGCTGTGTCTGTACTTTATGCTCATAAACACAGACAGTAATGCGCTGCAGTGCGTGTGTCTGTACTTTATGCTCATAAACTACAGACAGTAATGCGCTGCAGTGCGACAGAATGTGTGCTGTGTCTGAACTTTATGCTCATAAACTACAGACAGTAATGCGCTGCAGTCTGCTGTTTCTGTACTTTATGCTCATAAACTACAGACAGTAATGCGCTGCAGTGCGTGTGTCTGTACTTTATGCTCATAAACTACAGACAGTAATGCGCTGCAGTGCTGTGTCTGTACTTTATGCTCATAAACTACAGACAGTAATGCGCTGCAGTGCTGTGTCTGTACTTTATGCTCATAAACTACAGACAGTAATGCGCTGCAGTGCTGTGTCTGTACTTTAGCTCATAAACTACAGACAGTAATGCGCTGCAGTGCTGTGTCTGTACTTTATGCTCATAAACTACAGACAGTAATGCGCTGCAGTGCTGTGTCTGTACTTTATGCTCATAAACTACAGACAGTAATGCGCTGCAGTGCTGTGTCTTTACTTTATGCTCATAAACTACAGACAGTAATGCGCTGCAGTGCTGTGTCTGTACTTTATGCTCATTAAACTACAGACAGTAATGCGCTGCAGTGCTGTGTCTGTACTTTATGCTCATAAACTACAGACAGTAATGCGCTTGCAGTGCTTCGTGTCTCTGTACTTTATGCTCATAAACTACAGACAGTAATGCGCTGCAGTGCTGTGTCTGTACTTTATTGCTCATAAACTACAGACAGTAATGCGCTGCAGTGCTGTGTCTGTACTTTATGCTCATAAACTACAGACAGTAATGCGCTGCAGTGCTGTGTCTGTACTTTATGCTCATAAACTACAGACAGTAATGCGCTGCAGTGCTGTGTCTGTACTTTATGCTCATAAACTACAGACAGTAATGCGCTGCAGTGCTGTGTCTGTACTTTATGCTCATAAACTACAGACAGTAATGCGCTGCAGTGCTGTGTCTGTACTTTATGCTCATAAACTACAGACAGTAATGCGCTGCAGTGCTGTGTCTGTACTTTATGCTCATAAACTACAGACAGTAATGCGCTGCAGTGCTGTGTCTGTACTTTATGCTCATAAACTACAGACAGTAATGCGCTGCAGTGCTGTGTCTTCCGTACTTTATGCTCATAAACTACAGACAGTAATGCGCTGCAGTGCTGTGTCTGTACTTTATGCTCATAAACTACAGACAGTAATGCGCTGCAGTGCTGTGTCTGTACTTTATGCTCATAAACTACAGACAGTAATGCGCTGCAGTGCTGTGTCTGTACTTTATGCTCATAAACTACAGACAGTAATGCGCTGCAGTGCTGTGTCTGTACTTTATGCTCATAAACTACAGACAGTAATGCGCTGCAGTGCTGTGTCTGTACTTTATGCTCATAAACTACAGACAGTAATGCGCTGCAGTGCTGTGTCTGTACTTTATGCTCATAAACTACAGACAGTAATGCGCTGCAGTGCTGTGTCTGTACTTTATGCTCATAAACTACAGACAGTAATGCGCTGCAGTGCTGTGTCTGTACTTTATGCTCATAAACTACAGACAGTAATGCGCTGCAGTGCTGTGTCTGTACTTTATGCTCATAAACTACAGACAGTAATGCGCTGCAGTGCTGTGTCTGTACTTTATGCTCATAAACTACAGACAGTAATGCGCTGCAGTGCTGTGTCTGTACTTTATGCTCATAAACTACAGACAGTAATGCGCTGCAGTGCTGTGTCTGTACTTTATGCTCATAAACTACAGACAGTAATGCGCTGCAGTGCTGTGTCTGTACTTTATGCTCATAAACTACAGACAGTAATGCGCCTGCAGTGCTGTGTCTGTACTTTATGCTCATAAACTACAGACAGTAATGCGCTGCAGTGCTGTGTCTGTACTTTATGTTCATAAACTACAGACAGTAATGCGCTGCAGTGCTGTGTCTGTACTTTATGCTCATAAACTACAGACAGTAATGCGCTGCAGTGCTGTGTCTGTACTTTATGCTCATAAACTACAGACAGTAATGCGCTGCAGTGCTGTGTCTGTACTTTATGCTCATAAACTACAGACAGTAATGCGCTGCAGTGCTGTGTCTGTACTTTATGCTCATAAACTACAGACAGTAATGCGCTGCAGTGCTGTGTCTATACTTTATGCTCATAAAACTACAGACAGTAATGCGCTGCAGTGCTGTGTCTATACTTTTATGCTCATAAACTACAGACAGTAATGCGCTGCAGTGCTGTGTCTATACTTTATGCTCATAAACTACAGACAGTAATGCGCTGCAGTGCTGTGTCTGTACTTTATGCTCACATAAACTACAGACAGTAATGCGCTGCAGTGCTGTGTCTGTACTTTATGCTCATAAACTACAGACAGTAATGTGCTGCAGTGCTGTGTCTGTACTTTATGCTCATAAACTACAGACAGTAATGCGCTGCAGTGCTGTGTCTGTACTTTATGCTCATAAACTACAGACAGTAATGCGCTGCAGTGCTGTGTCTGTACTTTATGCTCATAAACTACAGACAGTAATGCGCTGCAGTGCTGTGTCTGTACTTTATGCTCATAAACTACAGACAGTAATGCGCTGCAGTGCTGTGTCTGTACTTTATGCTCATAAACTACAGACAGTAATGCGCTGCAGTGCTGTGTCTGTACTTTATGCTCATAAACTACAGACAGTAATGCGCTGCAGTGCTGTGTCTGTACTTTATGCTCATAAACTACAGACAGTAATGCGCTGCAGTGCTGTGTCTGTACTTTATGCTCATAAACTACAGACAGTAATGCGCTGCAGTGCTGTGTCTGTACTTTATGCTCATAAACTACAGACAGTAATGCGCTGCAGTGCTGTGTCTGTACTTTATGCTCATAAACTACAGACAGTAATGTGCTGCAGTGCTGTGTCTGTACTTTATGCTCATAAACTACAGACAGTAATGCGCTGCAGTGCGTGTGTCTGTACTTTATGCTCATAAACTACAGACAGTAATGCGCTGCAGTGCTGTGTCTGTACTTTATGCTCATAAACTACAGACAGTAATGCGCTGCAGTGCTGTGTCTGTACTTTATGCTCATAAACTACAGACAGTAATGTGCTGCAGTGCTGTGTCTATACTTTATGCTCATAAACTACAGACAGTAATGTGCTGCAGTGCTGTGTCTGTACTTTATGCTCATAAACTACAGACAGTAATGTGCTGCAGTGCTGTGTCTGTACTTTATGCTCATAAACTACAGACAGTAATGCGCTGCAGTGCTGTGTCTGTACTTTATGCTCATAAACTACAGACAGTAATGCGCTGCAGTGCTGTGTCTGTACTTTATGCTCATAAACTACAGACAGTAATGTGCTGCAGTGCTGTGTCTATACTTTATGCTCATAAACTACAGACAGTAATGTGCTGCAGTGCTGTGTCTGTACTTTATGCTCATAAACTACAGACAGTAATGTGCTGCAGTGCTGTGTCTGTACTTTATGCTCATAAACTACAGACAGTAATGTGCTGCAGTGCGTGTGTCTGTACTTTATGCTCATAAACTACAGACAGTAATGTGCTGCAGTGCTGTGTCTATACTTTATGCTCATAAACTACAGACAGTAATGTGCTGCAGTGCTGTGTCTGTACTTTATGCTCATAAACTACAGACAGTAATGTGCTGCAGTGCTGTGTCTGTACTTTATGCTCATAAACTACAGACAGTAATGCGCTGCAGTGCTGTGTCTGTACTTTATGCTCATAAACTACAGACAGTAATGTGCTGCAGTGCTGTGTCTGTACTTTATGCTCATAAACTACAGACAGTAATGCGCTGCAGTGCGTGTGTCTGTACTTTATGCTCATAAACTACAGACAGTAATGTGCTGCAGTGCTGTGTCTGTACTTTATGCTCATAAACTACAGACAGTAATGTGCTGCAGTGCTGTGTCTGTACTTTATGCTCATAAACTACAGACAGTAATGTGCTGCAGTGCTGTGTCTGTACTTTATGCTCATAAACTACAGACAGTAATGTGCTGCAGTGCTGTGTCTGTACTTTATGCTCATAAACTACAGACAGTAATGCGCTGCAGTGCTGTGTCTGTACTTTATGCTCATAAACTACAGACAGTAATGCGCTGCAGTGCTGTGTCTGTACTTTATGCTCATAAACTACAGACAGTAATGTGCTGCAGTGCTGTGTCTGTACTTTATGCTCATAAACTACAGACAGTAATGCGCTGCAGTGCGTGTGTCTGTACTTTATGCTCATAAACTACAGACAGTAATGCGCTGCAGTGCTGTGTCTGTACTTTATGCTCATAAACTACAGACAGTAATGCGCTGCAGTGCTGTGTCTATACTTTATGCTCATAAACTACAGACAGTAATGTGCTGCAGTGCTGTGTCTGTACTTTATGCTCATAAACTACAGACAGTAATGTGCTGCAGTGCTGTGTCTGTACTTTATGCTCATAAACTACAGACAGTAATGCGCTGCAGTGCTGTGTCTGTACTTTATGCTCATAAACTACACACAGTAATGTGCTGCAGTGCTGTGTCTGTACTTTATGCTCATAAACTACAGACAGTAATGCGCTGCAGTGCTGTGTCTGTACTTTATGCTCATAAACTACAGACAGTAATGCGCTGCAGTGCTGTGTCTGTACTTTATGCTCATAAACTACAGACAGTAATGCGCTGCAGTGCTGTGTCTATACTTTATGCTCATAAACTACAGACAGTAATGCGCTGCAGTGCTGTGTCTGTACTTTATGCTCATAAACTACAGACAGTAATGTGCTGCAGTGCTGTGTCTGTACTTTATGCTCATACACTACAGACAGTAATGCGCTGCAGTGCTGTGTCTGTACTTTATGCTCATAAACTACAGACAGTAATGCGCTGCAGTGCGTGTGTCTGTACTTTATGCTCATAAACTACAGACAGTAATGTGCTGCAGTGCTGTGTCTGTACTTTATGCTCATAAACTACAGACAGTAATGTGCTGCAGTGCTGTGTCTGTACTTTATGCTCATAAACTACAGACAGTAATGTGCTGCAGTGCTGTGTCTGTACTTTATGCTCATAAACTACAGACAGTAATGTGCTGCAGTGCTGTGTCTGTACTTTATGCTCATAAACTACAGACAGTAATGTGCTGCAGTGCTGTGTCTGTACTTTATGATCATAAACTACGGACAGTAATGCGCTGCAGTGCTGTGTCTGTACTTTATGCTCATAAACTACAGACAGTAATGTGCTGCAGTGCTGTGTCTGTAACTCACCCTGTGTTTTCATCACGACTCGGGCACATGTGAAAAGCACCAGCTCACAGCAACACAGAGTCTGGTGCGTTCACAGACGGTGGAAACCGTAGGAATTTTTAGTTTTCGGCGGAAAAAGTGCGAGAATACAGGAGGGAGGAACTTTCTCTCGTTGCGTTTCAAAAGAGAAAACAGATTCCAACGTTCATAGTGATGTCTGCCGTTCATGACACATAAAATGAACTAATTCACGTTCAAGTTCTTTTTTTAAAAATGTGTTGCGTTCAGTTCAACGTTCACCAAAAAATGAGCGTGTTCAATGAACGCGTTCTTTTGAACTTGTTCACGCACAACACTGCCTACGAACCAGCCCGGACTCTGAGGAGCACAGGGACTGGACTCCTGCTGGGACTCTGAGGAGCACAGGGACTGGACTCCTGCTGGGACTCTGAGGAGCACAGGGACTGGCCTCCTGCTGGGACTCTGAGGAGCACAGGGACTGGACTCCTGCTGGGACTCTGAGGAGCACAGGGACTGGCCTCCTGCTGGGACTCTGAGGAGCACAGGGACTGGACTCCTGCTGGGACTCTGAGGAGCACAGGGACTGGACTCCTGCTGGGACTCTGAGGAGCACAGGGACTGGCCTCCTGCTGGGACTCTGAGGAGCACAGGGACTGGACTCCTGCTGGGACTCTGAGGAGCACAGGGACTGGACTCCTGCTGGGACTCTGAGGAGCACAGGGACTGGACTCCTGTTAGTGCCCAGAGTCAGAACTAAACATGGGGAGGCTGCTTTTCAGATTCATGCTGCTAAAATCTGGAACAGTCTTCCTGAAGATGTGAGACAGGCCTCCTCTCTGACAATGTTTAAAACCAGGTTAAAGACAGTTCTGTTTAGCTGTGCATACAACTGAGGGATTTTATATTTTTTTCTTTCTTTTTAAATGTACTGTGATTATTTATTTTAATGCTTTCTGATTTTGTTCAGCACTCTGAGTTGCCTTGTGTATAAATTGTGCTATACAAATAAACTTGCCTTGCCTGATAGTCTACTCATACTCCATCATTTCAGTCACAAAAAATCATAAAAAAAGTCTTAAAAGGATCTGTCATTTCTTATTTTATTATCCTTTTTGAACATTGCAGAGCGCCTTGGGTGACCTTGGTATGTAAAAATAACGCATAATATTTCAAACCAACCCATCAACCCCGACACCACGATCCTTCGAAAGCGTGTGACGGCTCCACTCGGAGACAGCGCCAGGAACGATCCCGCACACTTTGTTGATGGGTAACATCAACTAAGGCCAGCAACGTTGCTAATCCGAGGCCAGCGACGCCACAGGCTCACTCCGGGGGAAGCGTCTTTAGCCAAAGAGTTCGCAGCAGCCACATGGAGTAAAGCGGATCTGAAGGACTCATGACGACCAACGCATGCGTCATCCTCACTATGGGATAATTGGCCTCTTCTGTTCTTTTGTGAGTCACGGGAACGCAGTGTGCCACAACCTACAGTAATTGGTGCCAGTTGAGTTTTCCAAAGAGACGGAATTCAAAGTTGCGCCGTGGAGCTCACCTGCTCGGGGATCTGGCAGCGGCTCTCATCAATGGAGCTATTTTTTGCATTTTCTGTTGTTTGAAAATGCCAAACTTGTGTGGGTGTGGAATTATTGGTCTTCCTCAAAAGGACCGTTTTTTGCTCCGGAAACATGATCAGGACCGGACTGCTTTTAGACATTTATGCTTTTCTTAAACTGTCTATTCAGCATTTTATAATCGCTCTTTATTTAGCTAAAGTCAGGGGTTTTTGTACTTAAGTTTTGGTTCTTCATTATGCTAACGTTGGAGATTTTAAGACTTCTTTCCTTATCATGCTAAAGATAGAGATTCTATACTGCTTCTATACTTCTATTCTATATCAATTGTAATAACTTTATTTCAATTTTTATACCTTAGAAGTGTATGCTAATTTCATTAGGCCTTACTCTATTCTCTTCCTCTCTTCTTTGACTCTTGCACCGAGAGCCAAAGCAATTCCCGGTCTGTGACTTCCTGTTACTTACATGGCAATGAAAATATATTCTGATTCTGATTCTTTTTATGCTTGAGTTAGAGATATTAGTTACCATCCAATAATAGTTCCAATGATGTACAGTCGACTGGCGACTGCACAAAACAAGGACTTCATTATCATCCGCTTTATCCGTTTCCTGGTCACACAGGCAGCAGCAATTCCTCCGGGTCCCTCCTGCATGTCCTGGGTCTTCCCCTGGTCTCCGCCCTGATGGGACATGCCTGGAACACCTCCCCAGAGAGGCCCGAGTGGAGGACCTCATCTGGCTACAGTCCATGTGGAGAAGCAGCAGCTCTACTCCGAGCTCCTACATTGTGACCAAGCTCCTCACCCTATTTCCAAGGGAGCACCCAGCCACTCTGCGGAGGATTTAGATGTAGATTAATTTTATTAGCTGTTTGCAGTAAAACCACATTGCAATACGCCAGACAAGTACTTAGAAAAAACAACATCAAAAGTACAGAAACAAAACAAGCAAAAAATAGTGGATAATATTGTCTTAAAGCTGCACCAACTGACTTTATTTTTGTATTGATTACAAAAATCCAATCCATATCCATGCAGTGCATTGGGATGTACGTCCTTTTGAAGAATAAGTAGCGCAGATTTCTGCACCTGATCCATTCAGCTTCCACACCTGGAGTCACTCTGTACTTAAGGCCACTCTCAGCACCTGGAGTCACTCTGTACTTAAGGCCACACTCAGCACCTGGAGTCACTCTGTACTTAAGGCCACACTCAGCACCTGGAGTCACTCTGTACTTAAGGCCACTCTCAGCACCTGGAGTCACTCTGTACTTAAGGCCACTCTCAGCACCTGGAGTCACTCTGTACTTAAGGCCACTCTCAGCACCTGGAGTCACTCTGTACTTAAGGCCACGCTCAGCACCTGGAGTCACTCTGTACTTAAGGCCACACTCAGCACTGGAGTCACTCTGTATTACTTAAGCACCTGGAGTCACTCTGTAGCCCTCACTGGAGTCACTCTGTACTTAAGCCACACTCTTTAGCACCTGGTAGTCACTCTTACTTAAGGCCACTCAGCACTGAGTCACTCTGTACTTAAGGCCACACTCAGCACCTGGAGTCACTCTTTATTAAGGCCACTCTCAGCACCTGGAGTCACTCTGTACTTAAGGCCACTTCAGCACCTGGAGTCACTCTGTACTTAAGGCCACTCTCAGCACTGGAGTCACTCTGTACTTAAGGCCACTCTCAGCACCTGGAGTCACTCTGTACTTAAGGCCACTCTCAGCACCTGGAGTCACTCTGTACTTAAGGCCACACTCAGCACCTGGAGTCACTCTGTACTTAAGGCCACACTCAGCACCTGGAGTCACTCTTTACTTAAGGCCACTCTCAGCACCTGGAGTCACTCTGTACTTAAGGCCACTCTCAGCACCTGGAGTCACTCTTACTTAAGGCCACTCCAGCACGCCTGGAGTCACTCTGTACTTAAGGCCACTCTCAGCACCTGGAGTCACTCTGTACTTAAGGCCACTCTCAGCACCTGAGTCACTCTGTACTTAAGGCCACACTCAGCACCTGGAGTCACTCTGTACTTAAGGCCACACTCAGCACCTGGAGTCACTCTGTACTTAAGGCCACTCTCAGCACCTGGAGTCACTCTGTACTTAAGGCCACTCTCAGCACCTGGAGTCACTCTGTACTTAAGGCCACTCTCAGCACCTGGAGTCACTCTGTACTTAAGGCCACTCTCAGCACCTGGAGTCACTCTGTACTTAAGGCCACACTCAGCACCTAGAGTCACTCTGTACTTAAGGCCACACTCAGCACCTGGAGTCACTCTGTACTTAAGGCCACACTCAGCACCTGGAGTCACTCTGTACTTAAGGCCACTCTCAGCACCTGGAGTCACTCTGTACTTAAGGCCACACTCAGCACCTGGAGTCACTCTGTACTTAAGGCCACTCTCAGCACCTGGAGTCACTCTGTACTTAAGCCACACTCAGCACTGGACACTCTGTACTTAAGGCCACACTCAGCACCTGGAGTCTCTCTGTACTTAAGGCCACACTCAGCACCTGGAGTCACTCTTTACTTAAGGCCACTCTCAGCACCTGGAGTCACTCTGTACTTAAGGCCACACTCAGCACCTGGAGTCTCTCTGTACTTAAGGCCACACTCAGCACCTGGAGTCTCTCTGTACTTAAGGCCACTCTCAGCACCTGGAGTCTCTCTGTACTTAAGGCCACACTCAGCACCTGGAGTCTCTCTGTACTTAAGGCCACACTCAGCACCTGGAGTCTCTCTGTACTTAAGGCCACACTCAGCACCTGGAGTCTCTCTGTACTTAAGGCCACACTCAGCACCTGGAGTCTCTCTGTACTTAAGGCCACACTCAGCACCTGGAGTCACTCTGTACTTAAAGCCACACTCAGCACCTGGAGTCACTCTGTACTTAAGGCCACACTCAGCACCTAGAGTCTCTCTGTACTTAAGGCCACTCTCAGCACCTGGAGTCACTCTGTACTTAAGGCCACTCTCAGCACCTAGAGTCACTCTGTACTTAAGGCCACTCTCAGCACCTGGAGTCACTCTGTACTTAAGGCCACACTCAGCACCTGGAGTCACTCTGTACTTAAGGCCACTCTCAGCACCTAGAGTCACTCTGTACTTAAGGCCACGCTTCACACCTGGAGTCACTCTGTACTTAAGGCCACTCTCAGCACCTAGAGTCACTCTGTACTTAAGGCCACGCTTCACATCTGGAGTCACTCTGTACTTAAGGCCACACTCAGCACCTAGAGTCACTCTGTACTTAAGGCCACACTCAGCACCTAGAGTCACTCTGTACTTAAGGCCACTCTCAGCACCTGGAGTCACTCTATACTTAAGGCCACTCTCAGCACCTAGAGTCACTCTGTACATAAGGCCACGCTTCACACCTGGAGTCACTCTGTACTTAAGGCCACACTCAGCACCTAGAGTCACTCTGTACTTAAGGCCACACTCAGCACCTAGAGTCACTCTGTACTTAAGGCCACTCTCAGCACCTGGAGTCACTCTATACTTAAGGCCACTCTCAGCACCTGGAGTCACTCTGTACTTAAGGCCACTCTCAGCACCTGGAGTCACTCTGTACTTAAGGCCACGCTTCACACCTGGAGTCACTCTGTACTTAAGGCCACTCTCAGCACCTGGAGTCTCTCTGTACTTAAGGCCACACTCAGCACCTAGAGTCACTCTGTACTTAAGGCCACTCTCAGCACCTGGAGTCACTCTGTACTTAAGGCCACTCTCAGCACCTGGAGTCACTCTGTACTTAAGGCCACTCTCAGCACCTGGAGTCTCTCTGTACTTAAGGCCACTCTCAGCACCTGGAGTCACTCTGTACTTAAGGCCACTCTCAGCACCTGGAGTCTCTCTGTACTTAAGGCCACTCTCAGCACCTGGAGTCACTCTGTACTTAAGGCCACACTCAGCACCTAGAGTCACTCTGTACTTAAGGCCACACTCAGCACCTGGAGTCACTCTGTACTTAAGGCCACACTCAGCACCTGGAGTCTCTCTGTACTTAAGGCCACTCTCAGCACCTGGAGTCACTCTGTACTTAAGGCCACACTCAGCACCTGGAGTCACTCTGTACTTAAGGCCACACTCAGCACCTGGAGTCACTCTGTACTTAAGGCCACACTCAGCACCTAGAGTCACTCTGTACTTAAGGCCACGCTTCACACCTGGAGTCTCTCTGTACTTAAGGCCACGCTTCACACCTGGAGTCTCTCTGTACTTAAGGCCACACTCAGCACCTGGAGTCACTCTGTACTTAAGGCCACTCTCAGCACCTGGAGTCTCTCTGTACTTAAGGCCACTCTCAGCACCTGGAGTCACTCTGTACTTAAGGCCACTCTCAGCACCTGGAGTCTCTCTGTACTTAAGGCCACTCTCAGCACCTGGAGTCACTCTGTACTTAAGGCCACACTCAGCACCTGGAGTCACTCTGTACTTAAGGCCACTCTCAGCACCTAGAGTCACTCTGTACTTAAGGCCACTCTCAGCACCTGGAGTCACTCTTTACTTAAGGCCACACTCAGCACCTGGAGTCACTCTGTACTTAAGGCCACTCTCAGCACCTGGAGTCTCTCTGTACTTAAGGCCACTCTCAGCACCTGGAGTCTCTCTGTACTTAAGGCCACTCTCAGCACCTGGAGTCACTCTGTACTTAAGGCCACACCTGTTCGGGGCTGCGGTCTGTGTGTT